AAGTTAAAATAAAATTTATTTCAAATTTATATTATAAGGAAGCACATTTATAACATTTTTTCGAACTCCAAATTAACCGAAGGTTTTTTATTTCCAGAGAAAAAGTAAATCCCACTTTCAATTTTAAAGTAAAGTCAAGGGAAGTGAAATAGGTAGATGTATATCGTTGTATTTTGATGTAATTATTTAATTCAAAACTTTCAACTGGTTTCTCGCAAAACTGTAATGTAACTAAAAATTAAGGCGATCGAACTTGTATAGTTTTGGAAATTTCATTCTACCCTATAAAATTTTATTGGCAATAACGAGACGGACAGTAATACAATAGCAAGAGATATTTACAACTTAAAGTTGTCGCGTGCCGGTAATCCCCAGTTATTAGAAAGCAGAATAATCCAGATCCGGACAGGGGCCATCGTTACTCTCGAACAAAAATGTGCATTATTTTATGAATACAACTACATGCTAAATGTTCTCCGACAAATTCTGGTGAACTGGTGTGAGCCATAAATATTTCTTACCATTGTACTACTGTCCGTCTCATTATTGTCAATAAAATTTTATAGGGTAGAATGAAATTTCCAAAACTATACAATAGTAACAGGAAAATATGACCTTAAAAGTACTGTTTTAGAACGATTTCATTTAATTTAAAAGAAAAAAATAACATTAAAATAAACAACAACGTTTGAACGCTTCAAAATTAAAAAAACAGTAATATGAAATCTTCGGTCTCAACAAAAAGACGAGCTTTTGCATGTAAAAGATATACTTCAATTTTGTATTCAATGAATTTTCTTTCTCACTTTCGCTTTAGGATCTGTTCGTGAGTCTTCAAAAATTTATCAAGATCTACAACCAATGAAATGAAGTCGCATTGTTTGAGATATTTTTAATTGGAAGAAAACATTTATTATTAATGATATTATTATAATCTGGAGGGTTGAGCGAGAAATGAATTTCTAAACCCAACATTAGAGAAAAAAAATTGTATCGACTGTAAACAAGGAAAAAAAGAAAAGAGAAAAAAAAAACAAATATCCAATAGCATTTAATTATACATACCTATATGTATTACCGATTATTTCTCTTTTCCAAAAATAATTTCTTATATGGTTAAAGTGACTAATCGTCATCTTATCGACACTTTATCCGTCTGTCCGTCTGTATGTCTGTCTATTTGTTTGTCCACCGTCTGTGTCAATTTTGGTAAAACAGATAATCTCCGAATCTACCAAACCGATTGTTGTCAAATTTTGTATGTATGTTAGGAATATCATGTAGATGGTAAAACGCTAATCACAATTTGGCTAATAATCCCCACCAACAATTTGATCACGTCTTCCCCAAAATGTATAATAGTAAATATTTTTTAAATTTGATAAAAGAATATACACTTCTACACCTGTAGTGTATAAATTCGTGTTGAAACATCCTTATTTTTGGAGAAAAAATATTTTAATTTTTACACTCCAAAATAGAATGCTCTGAAATCTTACAAACGTTTTAAGATTATCGTAATGACAGTAAATCGTTAATCAAAATTTATTCGTTTATCCCCTCCCAAAAAATTGATGAGGCCATCTCAATATTTTGCCGAATAATTCCTCTCTGAAATATGCAGAATACATATTATGACTCTATCAATGTATTCATAATTTTTCAAATTACTTATAGAGCGTGACTCAAAAAAATTAATGAATGTAGCAATTTATTTTATTGATTAAATGAAGAACGACTCACTTCTTTTTCCCGAAACTTTGAAAGTACAGTACTGTTATTATTAGTATTGCATTGCTTCTATCCAAATTGATATGTGTCCTTGCAAAAATGTTGATCATGTCATTACAAAATTGTGTAATGGAAAGAATCACTCGAAACAAACACGTAGCACGCTTCTTTACCATTACTTTAACATTACGTAGATACATATCTTTATTTTTAATCCTATAATTTTTCAAAAAAGTTGGATTTATTGTACTGCATTTATTTTAGGGGTATTATTTTTAACCGTCGACCAATTTTTTGTTTCTGTTATGATTTTTTTGTTTTTTAAATTCATATGAAATAAACTTACACGTTGTGAACTGAACTTTAATTCGCAGTTCAGTTGTGCACCTCTAGTATGTTTCTAAATTTTCTAACTTAAAAAAGGTGTCAAAAGTGCAATGGACTGAAAAATCACAATTAAAAGTAGTGTAAAATGTGTTTTAATAAAGAAAATGAATTTAAACATGTCTTGTACAATGAATTTCATGATGTATTATTAATATTATTATTATTTCAGATAATTTCAGTTCTAGCTTTATTTATTTCCAATGTAGGTGTAGTACCTACCAAATAGTTTAACATAATTATTATTATTGTTAAAATTCAAAAACCTGTTTTGTTAGGAACCTGTCACATTGTTCGTAAGTTTCTCGAACAATGCACGATCTGATCATATCATTCAGAATAGATTAGTTACGCTAGGCTTTTGGGGATGGGGTGAGATTAAAGAATAATAGCAGACGAATTTGATGCTGTAATTCTAGAATCTCGAAATTTATTTTATTGATTTAATCAATGCATGTCATTACTTGATATTAATACCTGTAATGATATAGATGTCTTGCTTGAACGTCGATCATTTCTGGGTCAGTGGTGGGACTAAATAAATGGGCTTTTAATTCTTGTTCCCTAGACATATCTTAAATACAATAATTTCAGATACGAAAGAAGCCTACTGACTACAAATATTCAGTGTCAAAGAAACAGCAGAGAACATTCAAACATATGTCGTGTTATAGCCAAGAATTATTAAAAAGCCATTTATTTGGATATACTCGTATTGATTATATTTCGAACCTAGTTACTTACTCGTTATGGAATTAACTTTTTTTAATGTTAACCAAGGTTAATTTTAAGCTGATGTGCACCCTTGAGGGCACATAGTGTATAGTGTTTTAAAATGACGATCTATTATGATGAAAATAACTATAAATAAATTGTTTTTTTTATATCCGATTTGTTCATTGGTCAAATCAACGACAAGAATTATGGTAGTTGTCGGAAAACTTATAATCAACGCTATTAGGGGAAGCTGGAACAAGACGCGCTCCATCATTGTTTTGCAATTCTAATGTTACCTACTGGCATTGCAATATTTGCATCATATTTGTCACTCAAATGCCTCTGCAGGCACAGATATGTATTATTAGAAGATATTTTTTAAAATTTTTAAGAAGGAAAGATATATCCTCTCATACAGCTACCATCGTTTACGTTTATCTTTTTTTTTATTGAAATGATTCATAAATCATTATGAATTAAAACAATAATAAGCAGGTTTGCCAATAAAATTATTTGAGCTATTTCGAAATTAAAAACAAAAAAGATAGGTATTTCACAAAGAACAGAATATTTTTCGCGTTTAAACTACAAAAAAAGTAAAAAACACAAGAAAAAAGTCTGATAAGGCTAACGACCATTTAGAAATGAATAAAAATGATTCTTCATTTTTATTCATAACGCGCGATCCACAAAAATGTCCTCTTGTTGACGCTGGATGATTACCCAACTTTCTTATTGCCTTTGTACATAGTACACAACAGGCATGGTCCAGCACCAAGTAACTATACCGATACCTAAAGACCGACTTTTTGTATCACGCCTCATTTTTCTCCTGGCGATTGTTTTAATTTACATCTTCATTTCAATAGCAGGTCTGAAAAAGCGTCAGAAAGTATTTATTACATGATTATTTTTGTTTATCTCTGAAACTTATGTATTCTGCCTGCCTCCACCTGCTCCTAAATTACTGTGTTGTCAAAAACAAATTGATTCAGAGTAAGTTCTGCGATAAAAAAATATTTCAAAATTATAAATAAATAGAATAATTTACAAGAGTGTCAACTGCCGCTGCAAAGTATAAACAAGCACTAACTAAACGACATAACAATTATCATTGTAAAACAAAAATTAAACAAGAAAAAGTTTCACTATTTAATCGTTCGATGTGTTTTTTAAATTCTTCATATTCTATTTTCAAATGTTTGTAGTACAACTAAAGTACCTATATTACATGAACTTAATGCATACATGTAACAAACAACAGGCTAATGTTGTGCTAGTCACCGTATACTTTGAAGTAATTAAATTAAGAATAATAAGGAGCGTGGCCATAAATGAACCGATCTTGAGGGTTGTTTATGATTGGTAGTAATTTTCGTGGTTTCTTGGTTGGAGGTCATAAATTATAGACATATGTTTTAACTTTCTCAACAGTGATCCATCATAAAGAAATTTATATTCAATATTGTCACGGTTTATCAAATACTAAACAAACTCTAAAACATTAATTTTTAAGGTATCAAATTATTATTATTTTTTTTATTTAAGACATATTTTTCTCTCCTTAATATTTAATACGAATAAAAAAATAGTTAATAGTTTACCTGCTTTACTCTAAAAAAAATTGGCATTCGAACCCAACAAAATAAAAAAGCAAACCGAATGCAGAGGCTGTTACCTTGTTAATACAATAATATAATATAGGTATTGTTTAAAAATTACACCGACAGTTCATTGCATATTAAAATACGCCGCAAAAATAAATATTAAGTATCTAATATCTAAGAGAACTTATAACTTACGTACATGTCTGAAAGTTATTTAGCAACTCTATTTTTTTCAAAATATGTAATACGTTAACACATCTTAAACAAACATTATATACTACTTAAAAATGGGTCTACATCAAAACCTAAACTATATTATATATCACCGATGTTTTCACTTTAACCTTCAAAATTACCGCGTTTCTAACAAAAACAAAGGCTCAGCTTTAAGCTACTCTGATTCATGCAAATTTGACAATGTAGCAAAAATCACTAAAACAATGTAAATCTTTATAATAAAAAAAATAATAATTTTTATAATTTATGAGTAAAGAGTAAATAATTTTGTACCTACAGTTATCATATAAGTTCCAAAATCCTTAACAGAAGTGATTAACTAACCTTTCTGGAACGATATGTCGTTCGAGCAGCGCGGCATTCCGAACTTCACGGATCGCGATTCATCTCATCAACGAGCATCAGGTAAGTCGCACACCTAGGTACTGATCAGCTCCTCTGCACCTGTACCACAACCATAATTTTAATTCAAAGAGTACCGCAAGTTGTCGCTACCTGTCAATGGTACCTCCATTTCCCCCTCAAATCTTTAAACAACACCTACCTGAACATGTATTGGAGCTGCTTTAATTCCCTTCACTGTTTCCAACTAATCCTGGCGAGAAGGAGGCACAGGAAACGCCCCCTAAAATAGTGATAAGTTTATCAGATTAGTTCATTACGGTCCTACCTAATTAACCATTAATTTGTGTCAGACCTATTTCATTTTTGTTCAATTTATTTTTTAAAACTGACGAAAATATACTCGTAGCATTACTGGCGTCATTATTACTATTATTACTTATATTAATATTATCACTATTATTATTTTTTGCTACTGTTACCGAAGTTGCTTTTGCACTAAAATATGGCCTATAAACTCAAAAATAAGTCAGTTTTCTGGTTTATTTACGTAAATTTTCTGCACAAAAATGTTTTCACTTATCATCTAAGTCTAAGTAATATATTTTATTCAGTGAGAAATCCCACTCAAAGGCACGCTACACAGACCATTGGGCGAGTTAGGTAAGTCACGTGTCGCATTGAAATCATTTTTATTTATTACTCTTACAACAAGAGAAGGTTTTCCCAGGCAAACGGATTTATTGGAGCCCACTGTAAAATTTTTATGAAGTCAAAACCGTGAACACACTATCTTTGGTCGAACTTTAGAGGAAAATATTTAAATAAATAAGTTTTTCAAAAAGAATTTGTTTTGATTACAACAATTTCAGTCATTCCCTTCATGCGTTCAATTTAAACTATGTGTTTGCATGTTCTAAAATTCACTCTTTGAACTACCGACTTTCGGCATTTTGCAGTTTCATTGTGACAGACGAACTATGTAAAAGCTGTCAAACAGTGAATCTATTTTTATTATTATTAATATTATTACTACGCCTTTTAACAGGCTGAGGGCCCCTTTACAAAGAGGGAAAAAACAACTAGAAAAATTTTGATTAATATGAACTGAAAGAAAAGCAAGATAATTGACAAAAAAAAAGTGTACATGTATATATGTATATATCAAAATTGACACCGAAACATAGTTCAATATTTTTTATTAAATTTGACTTGAGAACAGTTTCAAGAATTTCAGTTGTTTTTCAATTTTTTAAGATCTGATAGATTGCAATTAAATATGTCAACCTTGGATTCAATATGTCTGTAGCTTTATTAGTAAACTCTTATGGCCGGACGTTCAAGAGGTAAAACGATTAACAAACTAAAGTTTTCATTGAAGAAACAAACCGAAAATTTACCAGAATGCTTTGTTTATAGTAGGGTATAATAGAAAATACAAAACCTCTGTCAAGTAATGTTTATTACCCTTTTATTTATTAATAAAAACCTGCAGATGAACGAGATGAAAATGAGTAAGCAAAACGGCATTAAAAGTAGGGCCAGCCGACTAGGTAGAGGAGGCCGAAGCACTTCCAGAATACCATTGTATTACAGTGTATTTCTTTTGGTTTTCATGGTTTATCGAATGTGTTTCACTATTTGACAAATGTATTTCCCGTATTTGCCATATGTTAAAAGAAATTCCCTGTTTGTCAAAATTCTTTCAATTTATAGTAAATGCTTTTCCTCTGTTCTAATAAATATTTTTTACTTTAGCTACGAGGACCCAAGCATAAGTAACATATTTTACTTGAGAAAATATTGCATAATAAATATGTCCATATTATTATCTATAAGCATGAAGTATACCAAATTATTTTAATTCAAAATTTCATTTCTGTTGAGGCAATCTCCCAAATATGTCTCCATATGATGCACATAATTTTGGCAATGTTCTTCGGCTATAAAGCATTGTGTACTTGGATATACAGTGCATCTTTTTTAAAAGTGGCCATACGGAATCCCATGTTAAATTATATACCCCATGTTAACATATGTTTGAGTAAATATTCAGAGTTGAAATTTTCACTGGATGTAGTTTGGGTCATCTTTTGTTGATTGTATTAAAGGCTATGCTTTATGTATATGGTAACATGTGTTACAGCTAATATCCGAAGTCCGTTATTATGCATAATAACTAGACATTTTAGGAATTATGCGTAATAACTAAACTTATCAGTTATTATGCATAATAACCGGAAACATTAGGAATTATGCGTAATAACTGAAATTTTCAGTTATTATGCATAATAACGGAAACGTTTAGGTAATATTGATAATAACTAATAGAGGAACAGGAATTATGCATAATATTTTCCAAAAAGCTACCCACCCTGCCTCGCTTTCCCCTACATATCACATGTACAGTTGATTTAAAAAAAAAGGGACAAATTACAGTCCCATTGCTTTTCATTGATCTATGAAAACCTGAATTGCTCATCTTGTCCCGTTTTTTTTAAATCAGCTGGACATGTTATAGACCAGTGCCGAAGCCTTCGAAAATGGTAAAAAGTGAAAAAAAATTAGAACAGGATGATACACATTGGAAAAGGAAGAAAATATAACAAAAACAAAGGGAAACATAATTCACAGGCGATCTGAGGTCCGGAAGGGGAAGAGGGTGAGCTTTTAAGGGCAGAAAACGGTTTATCACGATTTTCGGCAAAACTACAGGTCCTATCGCAAAAAGTTTAATGGCAAAATTGTAGGGAATAAAAAGATCTATAACTTTTGAATTTACACTTTCTTTACATAACCTCAAAATTTATGCGAAAAATGCAAATAACCGAGTTTTTGGTTTTTTGTTTTTATCTCCCACAAAAAATAATTTTTTAACGAAATTTTTTTCCCACAAAAAATACTTTTTTTTACACCTTCAGAAAGTAGAGATTTCAGCGAACAAAAGGCATACCGATTTTTTAAAAAAGCAAATATTTTGACGTGAGAATTTTCGATTGAAAAAATTAGGGTGGTTTTTCGATATTAAATCAAAATAAGGGGGAAAAACAAATATTTTAAATCAAAAAAATTACAGCGAGTTTGAGACATAAATAGGTAAGTTTTCAACAAATTTCGTGAAAAAAAAACTTTTTTGTGGGAGATAAAAATAAAAAACCAAAAACTCGGTTATTTGCATTTTTCGCATAAATTTTGAGGTTATGTAAAGAAAGTGTAAATACAACAGTTATAGATCTTTTTATTACCTACAACTTTGCCCTTAAACTTTTTGCACTAGGACTTGTAGTTTTGCCGAAAATCGTGATAAACCGTTTTCTACCCTTAAAAGCTCACCCTCTTCTCCTTCCGGACCTCAGATCGCCCGTAAATTATTTTTCCCTTTATTTTTGTTATATTTTCTTCCTTTTCCAATGGTTATCATCCTGTTCTAACTTTTTTTCACTTTTTACCATTTTCAAAGGCTTCGGCACTGGTCTATAACATGTCCAGCTGATTTCAAAAAAACGGGACAAGATGAGCAATTCAGGTTCTCATAGATCAATAAAAAGCAATGGGAATATGACGTTTATATAACTTCTGTAATTTGTCCCTTTTTTTTTAAATCAACTGTAATATGTAGGGGAAAGCGACACAGAGTGGATAGCTTTTTGGAAAATTCCTGTCCCTCTGTTAGTTATTATCAATATTACCTAAACGTTTCCGTTATTATGCATAATAACTAAAAATTTCAGTTATTACGCATAATTCCTAATGTTTCCGGTTATTATGCATACTAACGGACAAGTTTAGTTATTATGCCATAATTCCTAAAATATCTAGTTATTATGCATAATAACGTATTTCGGATATTAGCTGTAACATATGCATATTTACTTTGACTTTCAATGTCACTTTTAATTATATCATACTTGGTTTAAATTAAAGGATAGTTAAAAAAATAATAAATTATTTGGATATTTTTGTCGGTAATATTACAGGCAGCCATGTAAAAACAGATATTTACCTGACGGTTCTAAAATTTAATTACTCGTTACATGCCGCAGTACACAGTAAAACTGGAAGTGGTCACTGATGAATACATATTTTAAAGGCTTATCGACAACAGAGAAACTACGCAAAATTTTGTTGCAGCACTCCCGCATCTTATACCCATCAAGCAGTGGCGTAACAATCAAAGTACGGGCCTGTGTTCTACGACACTGCGGGGCCACTAATGAATAGCGAAATAAAAATTATTTAAAAATACGAGTACATATGTATAATGAGAATAAGTAAAGTATGAGTAGGTACATTGCAATTAGGGCGGCTTACATTTTATTGAAATCATTCTAGCTGAAACGCTGAATTAAAAAAACAAAATACAATAACTACCTGAATACATATAATTAAAATATATATTAGAAATTAAAATATCTCAAAATGGTTTTTTCTTGCTTTCCAATGGGCACAAGTTGATTCAAGATTTGAAACATCTAAGCTTCTGACAATTTCATTTTCAATTGAGATAATAGCCAGGTAAGATAATCTGCGTTGGCCCATTGTGTTTCTTAAAAAAATTTTAGTCATTTTTAATTTCGAAAAAGATCTTTCCGCTGAAGCCACCGAAAGAGAGATTGAAAGAAAAATGAAACATACTGTGATAATTTCGCTGAAACTAGTGCAGCTACTAGGTATTCATTCTGTCATAATTTCGCGGTCCAGTGTTTTTTCTATTTAAAAATTGGTCGAAAGTTATTTCGACAGAACTTCCCTCGCCCTGTGATGACGTCATCAACATTTTGCAAAGACATATATCACCAATAGGTGTAGTGTAATACTAATGATAACAGTATTGTACTCCCAAATTTTTAGGAAAACAGCATACTGAAACCGAGTTTCCGTAGTCTCTGGTAGTCTCTGGTGTGTTGCGTCTTTCGGATATGAATGAAATACGTTTTAAGCAGTAGTGAAAGTCTTTGATAGCCCTGTCTATGGTAGATATGTTTATTTATAGTTATGGACTTTCTTCTAACAATTTGATTTTGATTTCATTAAGAACTAAAACAGTCTTCATCAATCCACTTGCATATTTG